ACAGAAGAGTTTCATTTTTGTCTGAAGACTTGAGGTCAACATCCTGCCCTAATAACAGTACAGTAATAGCAATAATAACAGTAGCCTCCCTGTATGGTACTTTAAAGCTGAGATGCCACTTTGATATATACTGTCACAATTTAATCCTTCCAACAGCAAGGTGAGGTAGAAGAGTTGTATTGAAGAAAGGAGTCTCAGAGAGATTAACTATCCTACCCAAGATTACAAGGCTAATGTGGGCAGAGTGAGTTTCTTGACCCAAAGTTCGGTCCTTCTTTTTCATGGCATTGAATGAGATCCAGTGAAATGATGCTGTAGGTGGAAAAAGAACAGAAAGGTGGTGTGGTGTTACCCAGTGAGTCTTCCTTTCCCACCCAGCTGGTTGCTCAGGCAATACAACAAGTACCTGCTTCTGATCATTTCCAAAAGTAGCAACTCATTGGAGCTCAAGAGCAGTTCCCAAAAACACACACCATGGCATAAGAGAAGATCTAGAGAAGACCAAGCGACAGTTGTAGATGATCTAACACCCAGTGGCTTACAGTTCACCTCCAGAAGGAATTCAAATTCTCAAAAAGCAATGATTCTAGGTCTCATATCAAAACCCAGTGTTTCATGTTTGCATGAAAGAAAATTTTAATTTCTTCATTAGGCTTGCCCCAGATGCTTTCAGCTCCCCACCCTAGTACCACTGGATACCAGTGCACTAATTATGGTCATTAGTGATCATTTTCTTGGCTGAAAGAGTTATGAACTCATTCTAGAATGGATGTTGACAAGCAGTCAACAAGTGTTTGTTAAATAACTGCTATATGCCCAACAGCATGGCATGTTCTGGGAATATAAAAATGAATGAGACATGGTTCCTGCTTTTAAGGATTTCCCCATACAGGAGGAGAGAAAGACATACCAAGTCACGATGAGATAATGCAGTAAGAGCAATAAGGAATATAGGTTACTGCAACAAGAGCACAGAAAAGAGACTCCTGACTCTTCATCAGGAGGTCAAGAAAAGTTTCCTGGAGAAACAGAGTTGAGTCCTGAAAATCAAGTCTTGACATCAGTGAAGGGTGGGAGAGGGCCATTCCAGGAGAGGGAGTGGCATGAGCAGAGAGGCCTGATGGGAAGAAATGATATAGCTGGTGGAGACAGACAAGCAGTTGGTTCATTTTGGAGAACTCAGGTCAAGGCTGTAAGTGGCTTAAAACCACTCTGGCAGAGAGATGAGCCAACTCAGATAAAAGCAGCAGAATGATGGGAATTTTCCACTCCTGCCCCTGATAGCAGCTCTGTGCCTGGTGTCTAAGTGCTCTTACAGGACCCAAATCCCTTCTGTATGTGCCTGGCCGGGTGGCTGAAATGGGGGCATTACAGGTAAACCACTAAAGGACAAAACCATCAGACCAAGATTTCAGGTCATTTTGGGTATGGACTGAATTCCTCCTGAAGACAATAACACTGATCAAGTTCCGCCCATTTGGAGTATGTCACCCTACTGCTGGTTTTTTTTGGTTGTTGTTTATTGTTATGTTAATCACCATACATTATATCATTAGTTTTTGATATAGTGTTCCATGATTCATTGTTTGTGCATAACACCCAGTGCTCCACGCAGAACGTGCCCTCTTTAATACCCATCACCAGGCTAACCCATCCTCCCACCCCCCTCCCCTCTAGAGCCTTCAATTTGTTTTTCAGAGTCCATCGTCTCTCATGGTTCATCTCCCCCTCCAATTTCCCCCCCCTTCATTCTTCCCCTCCTGCTATCTTCTTCTTTTTTTTTCCTTAACATATATTGCATTATTTGTTTCAGAAGTACAGATCTGTGATCCAACAGTCTTGCACAATTCACAGCGCTCACCATAGCACATACCCTCCCCAATGTCTATGACCCAGCCACCCCAGCCCTCCCCCCCCCACTCCAGACCCTCAGTTTGTTTCCTGAGATTAAGAATTCCTTATATCAGTGAGGTTATATGATACATGTCTTTCTCTGACTTCTTTCACTCAGCATAATACCCTCCAGTTCCACCCACGTCATTGCAAATGGCAAGATCTCATTCCTTTTGATGGCTGCATAATATTCCATTTGTATATATATACCACATCTTCTTGAACAGCAGTAGCCGAGCTCAGGAAGCCGGTGTGTGCACGAGCACATTGTTTCAATTAGAGAGAATAAATGGACCTAATCCTTTAGACTTTGTCTTCTCTTTGTGTCTTGACCTCTAGACAGAAATGTCTCAGAGGGTGAACAAACCAGTCAATGCTTAGTTATTCAGCACCAAATGTAGATAAACTGTCCTAATTGCTTTTCTTCTTTACTGTTTCATTCTTCCTCATCTCTGCCTCTTCTGTTCCTCCAATCCATCCCGTCCCCTCTAGCTGTATTACACCTTCCATTTGTACCTCGTCCATGAAGGTGCTTAGGAAACCATAGGAGGCAAAACACATGAATCAATTTTCAACCAGTAAATAGCCCTAATAAAGAACGAGGCCAGATAGCAGCCTGAAGGTGCCAGACTGTCATAAGGGAGATACCTGACTCTCTCAAATCCAGCCACATGGACTGGAAGAAGCTTGGAGGTTGGGGGGGGCGGGTCAGGATGGGGAGAGAATAGGAGAAAAAGTAGGGAGTTGTTGCGGCTATGCACCAACACCATACGAGGTGACTCAGATAGCCTCAGTAAATCCTTGCTCATGACTCTGAATTCGTGTCCTGATCTCCTTTTCACAAGGAGAAAAGTCTAAGAAAGAAAGAAAAAAAAAAAAAACATGCAGGAAACAAGCTGGGACCCAAACCCAAAGAGTACAGTCTTTGGAGCAGATGCGTCAACACTTAATGCTCTCATCCTGCTGATGCAGGGACCACAAGAAACAAGTCCTCTTTTCAGTTCAGCTCTGAACTTGATGGTCAGCTCTCTACAGCGTGTGCTGTGGCCAAGCAGCAAGGTCAGGAGCGGCACGGGCTTCCCCTGGCCTGGTGGGTCCACCACATTCCAACTGTCTGACCCTGGACACATTACATCACCTCAGTCCCCGTATGCAAAGTGAAAGGAACAGTAGTCGTTAAATCAACAGGATTAAATGATTTCATACCAATGGAGAGCTTGGAAAACGGAGGGCGCATGGTAAGCCCTCAGTAAACAACAGCGCCGGCTATAGCTTTTCATGCCTTCCTCGGTCCTCTGTACATCTTTTGTCAACACAAGGTTCGGCTGTGTGGCACACAGCTCGACCATGGCACTTCAAGTTTTGGTCTTGGTCTCTTTTTTTTTTTTTTTTTTTGACAGAGAGAGACGCGAGAGAGGGAACACAAGCAGGGGGAGTGGGAGAGGGAGAAGCAGGCTTCCCGCAGAGCAGGGAGCTCGACGCGGGGCTCGATCCCAGGACGCTGGGATCATGACCTGAGCTGAAGGCAGACGCTTAACGACTGAGCCACCCAGGCGCCCCTCGGTCTTGGTCTCTTTTAAATGAAATTAGATAGACACACCTTAGAGAGTTCGCCCACACACTCATCACCTCCAAAAAAACACAAACACAAAACAGTGTGTTGCCGCAGTAATTCCAAATGATCAGATTACCAAGTTCCTCTGCCATTTGTCACCTTGAATTTAGTGGCTGCTCTATTGTATGAAAAGGAACCTCCCAGTGACAAGTTTCATACCCTCTTGTCTTCAGTGAATCCTTGGACTGCTTTGCCTTTTTCTGCGTAAACTATTTTAAATGATGTGACAAATACTAACAATTATTTGAAAAGATTGTTCTGCTATGATACACAGAAAATGTATTTGCCACAGAAATTATTCAGCCTTCTATCATACATATAGCTTTATAAGATTAATAGGTTGGGCCATCATTTATATCTTCTTTTAGATTCATACAAATTTGGCTCTTCACAATTAACTTGTTACACACTTTATCTCATGTCATACTATTTCCAGATTCCCCCTCCTGTGCCCCCATAATGGTTAGGTCTTACATTCAAGTTTGGTAGCAAAATAATGAAAGATGTATTAATAAAGCAACACAAATATTTTTATATAAAAGCTTGTCTCATATACTGACTGAGCAACAGAAACTCAGAAATGTAGAGTAGATATTGTAGCAATAATCTCTAATTATTTTAGTCTTGCTCAGCTATAGAGAAAACCAAGAAGTTAGGAGACGACAGGGAAGATGAACTTAACGACTAATTAAATTCAATTCTGAAGAAAGCAGAGCTCCACAAGCAGTGTCACTGCCCGTGGTGTTCTTTTCCGCTGTGGTTATCGTCGTTTTTGTATTTAGAGCTTCCTGGCTTTAGCATCTTCTCCTTCTCTACTGAATAGTTTATCATATTTGTAAAGCAAGTTTGTTAAGTTGGTTTACATATTACAAGTTTTTTTTTTTCCATAGGAAAGAGATTGAAATTTTATGCTTAAAAGCTTCGCACTCCATTAACCAGAGTTTTATCTGGCCCACCCCACCCCAAGCCGTGTCGGAGAAAGAAAAATCAACAGTATGAAGCCCTTATCATGAAACCCCCGAACTGTGCTGTGGTTTACATATGTGTGTGTGTGTGTGTGTGTGTGTGTATAAATATTTACATGACCAATAATGTGTAGGTTTAGATTAAAGCTTCTGCATTATCAGAGGTGGTAGCAGATAAGAACTTTTAAAAATTTTTTCCTCTGATAGGATTTGTACACCATATTGGGTAAAACCAAGGCAAATTTCATTCATTGGACAGAAGAGCTAAAGAAGAGATTTTTCGCTCAAAAGAGCAAACGACCTTGCCATTGGTAGCTTAGGCAAGCAACTCGTTTCTCCGACTTGCAAATTCTTCTCCCAAGATGGTATATTCCCCAACCAAAGCGTGTATACTGCACGGTCCTTTGGATCAGAATTACAACTCGGCCTCCTCTAGCCCCTGAGAAGCTCCACGAACTGTGCCCATAAGCTTGGCTCGGGTCGTTTCTGACAATTATACGACAACTAGGTTCCCTTTTCTCTTCCAGGTCCAAACCACCGTGAAGCGCCAATGGGCCCAGTTTAAAACCCAGTGGGACCAGCGCTGGGGGCGAAGGAACCCCCGCCGCCGCCCGGCCGCCGCCGCCGCTGCCGCCGCCGCTGCTGAAGCCGGGGACATCCCGGTTTACATCTGCCATCAGGAGCCGAGGAACGAAGCCGCCAACAACCTGGGCGAGGAGGGTGCCGAGGTCATTGCTTTGGAAATCATTGAGCAAGAGTCATCCGCTTGAATGTGAAGCTAACGCAGCATCGTGATCACTGAGCCTCCATTTCCTGGGAGACAGACAGACCATGCGTTTAAAGTGATCCCCATCCTCCCAGGAGCTGAGCATATCATTTGTGAAGAATTATTAAGTGAATTTGTCCATAGTAAATCTGGAGAAAGTTATCCTTGGTACTATTGCTGTGGGAGACAGTCTAGGAATGGGGTCTCCCACCGCATCCCTTGTGAACTCCATCTTTCATCCGGGACTGAGATGCAGATGTCAGAGTAATGCAAGCAAAGTATCCAAGAAAAACACAATTAAATTGACCTAGTTCAGAAATAGGGTGCTCCTTGTTAATCTTGAGCCATTTATAACTTTGAAAAATTAAAATCACGGTCACTATTTTTCTTTTTAACTCTAGACTTTGAATTAGAATATTTCTGTATTTGGCTATGGATCTGATTTTTAATTTTTTTATTTCAATCAATTCCGATGTTACTCAGATGTTTTACCATCCACACAATGTAAACTGCACAAATTACATGACCTCTGCAAGACCAAGTGGCTTTCTAATATAGAGATGACTAAGAAGGTGGGGGTGGGGGGAGAGACCTGCATTTGGCAGGAAGATGTAATGCTTTGAATGAAAAAAAAAATTTAGAGTCAATTTGCTCAAAACATTAGATGGGCCAATTTGTTAATTGGTTTATTAATATCGTATGCTCAGTGTGGTTTTGGAGAATCCTGTCCATCGAACAGGCCCTAACTGCCGTGAGGAACTGGCCTTCACATTGAATGTGCTTTGGTCACTGACGTTTATAAATTGGGAGGTCACAAAGAATCCATCACTAAATTTTTCACAAAACTGCCAAAAATATAATTTCTAGTGGAAGAGAATATTCTCTTTAAAGAGAGTTTTCCACTTTCTTAAGCTCCAGGATTTATAAAGCAAATTACTCTAAGGTTTATAAAGCAGATTACCTCTTGCCCTTGGGTGCTATCTAGCAGTAAAAGATAAATTTGTTTAAGACTGGTAATTAAAAGACTCCATATAAATCCATTAACTGCCTTCCACCCAGCTTCAAAGCTTAACAAGATCTCGGTCTTTTCCAGGAAGATTCAGTAGGGCTAATTAGAAATCAGTTTGTAGTTGACCTCTTGTTTGCTGCTATTAGCAAAACAGGAGGACGAAAAGTAACTGCTACAAGTTGAACCATCTACCAGTTCATTTAAAATAAAAGTAGAGGTTCTTATTAAAACCCAATATTATATTCCCACATCTCTCCTTACATCCTCAGTATAAAATCTTCAAAAATCCCTGAATAAACCAGTTCTCATTACTGGCACCTGAAGTTCATTTGTGGATTCGCAACAGTAATCAGAGTTACCATCATCTGATTTTGTGCTAAATGGGGAGATCCATCAAAACCCTCCAAATCTCAGATCTCATCTATGTCGATGCCACTGCCTTTCAGAGGTGATTTAGTTGTGGAAAAACAAAAAGTCAATTTGTTCTGGTTTCATATTTAGTGCACCCAAAGAAAATTATATTCCTTCATTGAAAATGTATTTTGGATACTAAAGTGGCTTATGTCTCCTTTATTGAATGTAAGGGAGGAACTGAAAAGAAGGTATTTTTCCAATCACAGTGTTTATGTAGTGGTGTTCCTATTTTCGTTTACAAATGTGGAAAACAGAGTATTTGAGGCAGCTCTAGTACAAATGTGATAATATATTGCTAAATATTCTAGACATTATTGTGCTATTATAGTAGGGGCTGACGAAACAACACAGCTTACCATAGAATTATACATAGTGCCAAAATGATGTGAACTGCTTACGCTATGTATATGTATAAATTAATACAGAGTATGTTAAAAGCAAAAAGATGTATATGTGCATATTTTTCTAAAGAAATATATTCTCATCTTTCATTCATTCATCTTGTCTCCTGCTCATTCCATGTTCATTTTTTCATTTCAGTCACGGGCAGCTAACATCTCACTTAGTTTGGGTAGCAGGAGGGGGAATGATAATCCAGAAGTATAGGTTAGAAAACCATATGCAAAAACATCGAGGTTATTGTCTTTGTCAGTGTAATCATCTTACATCTTCAACTTTACTGTAAACTCCATAGCACTGTTCTCATACCCTTGATAATGCAAAAACCACACACAACTGTTGATCTCTACTGTGTAAGTTTTGGAAGCACAGCAAAGAAATCTAGGGCAAGAAGTATCACATCCTTTTATTGTTCTTGACTTTTATTTTCCTTCATTATTCTGGGACCAGACTTGAACTGTCCAACATCGCATCAGATCATTAGAATTGTTACAATCATTGATTTTTAATATAGTCTGGGAGAGAGACTAAGGTGGGATAAAAGACAACTAATTAAATGTCATTAGAATGCATAAAGGCCACTATTGGAAAGATTTTCAGATCTGGAAAGCATGAAATGGAAAAAGTGAGGATTAAATGAGAACTGTGATAGGTAGGCTAATAAAGGAGAACAGGAACAATTTGTAGGTTCTGCACACTATTCAACTCTTGTCCTCGTGAGAGCTGGAGAACTTTTTCAGAAAAGATACATAAGGGCTACATCTTTTCCTTTATGTACCAGTAGGCAATACAGATAGATATTATTACCCTTGTGATCTTGAAAAACAAAAGTAATTTTCCATCGTACCATAAAATCTGATTCTTCAAGAGGGCAACTTGAACTTAGATGGTCAGTTGCCCACCTGCTTTGATCCCTACTACAAAACAGGCCTTCAGTACACACAGATATCATGGTTCTTGAAAGAGGGAAAGAGGTTGAAAAAGAAATGAGGGAAACACTATCATCATGGTGTTCCAACCTTGCTCGTTCATTCATTCATTATCATTGATTCAACAGACATTTCATACACTTTTCATTTAGCTCCACAACAAATATTTATTAATAGTAGTTATCATGGCAACGTTTCTTTGCAGTAGTGACTGCTTCTTTCCTGTGTCAATGGTACAAATCAAAACCTACTAAGTGAACCATTATCCTAAAACCATAACCGCTGATATCTTTGGAGTGGGAGAACGAACGGACCCATGTAGTTGGAACTGGTAGCTGAATATGACCTTTCCTCCTTATTAATGCTCAGTAGGACAGCTCAAGTTATAAGAAACATTCTCAGAACAAGATCTCTGCATAAACACTTAGCGAGGACTCATTTTCATAAGAACAAGGTCTAAAACAGTGATTCTTCCATTGACTAGACTACTATTCAACTCCTTATTGGGGGAGTTAACACTTTAGAGTTTAAAATAAGTTATAGATGAAGAAGGGAGATCAGAAGCCATATTTAGAAAAGCTATCAGGTAAACTCAGAAGGAAACTCCATTTACTATTTTGAGAGGGCAGACAAGATGCCTCACTCCTAGCTTAAGCTTACATAAAATTGATTTTAGTGAACTAATCCATAGATAATTTACGTGTCTGCAGGGGGGCAAAAGAGGGGGGAAACAATAACTGGAAACATAAAAGAAAGAATGATATGTGCTTGTGAGAATCAAGCAAAGTGGAAAAACCACATTTGAAAAGTAAGAACTATCCTTCTGATTATTTTTGTTCTTCTGGACATAGGATTAACATCTGTTTACTACCTGTGAATAATATGAAACATTGAAGGAGCAAAAACACAGTCTGACTCAGGTCAGGAAGACTTTCTAATAGCAAGTCTTCCTCCATTTGGATTAGTGAGCATCTCTGAAAGATTTCAGAGATTTTTCCATTATCTTAAGCATTGACCAGCCAGGCCCTCAGGTCACTGATCAGACTTACAGAAATTTCCACTTACAGAAATTCAATGCCTTCTCTCTAACTTTCCAGAAACCCTCTTGGCTGACTGACCAGCAATGCCGCTGCATGTCACTGCCATCTCCTCTACTTAAGAGACTTCTTATCTTATTTTAATTTGGAGAAATTGCTTCCAAACAAAATCTCAGAGTAATACAAGTGAAATGCTGAGTAGAAATTCAGTGAAACCAGTTGAGATGTCCTTAATGAGGGGAGGAAAGAAAATACATTCAGAATAGACCAGGAAAACAGTGTCCCTCCACCCCTGCCAGACTGGCTAATCAAGGCTAGTGTACCGGTCTTACACAGATGCCCTGCACCCAAACATACACCCAGCTGCAAACCCCTGACATGTGCACACGGCACTGTGGGTGGCTACTCTCAGGGCTGCAAGCATTTCCCTCCTGTGCCCAAGCATGACAGCTTCTGAAAGCTGTCATCACAAGAGGGGTACTGTCATGGGGGTTAGTGTTATGGAGAGCATCCCTTAAATAGAGATGAGTTAAGAAGAAAAAAAGAAAGGAACTCCAATCATGGAAACACCGTAGGCAATATGAATAGACTCCTAGACACTGGCTTACTTCTCTTTGTAACAACTGAACCCGTTCTAATCCCCATTTTAGTGATGAGAGAACTAAGTGAAAGAGAAGTTAAATAATGCACCCACCACAGTCACACAATTAGTAGTAAGTGGCTGGGCTAGGATTTGAATCAAGAGTACCCATTGCCCCTGCTTTTTAAAATGCCATCTTGGTTGGGTGGTTGCACCATCCTGTCTCTCAGAGTGAGACCGCTCCCCTCTTAACTCTAAAGGACACCAGATCATTGTCTCCTGTTGACTGAGAGGATAGAGGTTGTTTGCAACATGTATCCCTTTTGGTCCAAAATTAACTTAATGCGTGCTCCATAGGTTCCTTCAAAAAATGAGTGGTCTTTAGATGAAATTCAGCCTTCTATAGCTTAAAGGGTTTCTGTCTATAGTGATGACGTCTTTTTCTACCCAGGGATTGTTTTTCACACACAGTGCTGGTTTGCAGCTTTTTCATTTCAGATGTGGTCTTTGTGCAGACATTTGGGAGACAAAAACATGCTCTGGGAAACTCTCAGTGGACACCCCAGGCCTAACTTGAGGCCCGCAGCAGAGCTGAAGAAGGGGAAGGAAGGCTGATTTTAGCAATGTTTGTAATAA